CCCTGCCCAGCACCCACAATGGGAAGAGCAGGACATGTAAGGAACTGCTTTCTTACCTGCCCATTAACAGTCAGGAGAAGTTTAACAGGATTGCCACTGTCCATCTGTTTCAATGAAGCCATCAGAACATGCACACTCCAGTCACCTTCCCACACAAGAGACCTGTGTGCAAAGAGAATGAAATCTTGATTCACGGGGACACTGCCCGGCGGGGGAAGGGGCATCCTGCTTCCCAATAAGTAGTAAAGTTCCATAGAATTCAGTGACCCTAGGCCCCAAAGCACTGAGCCCTGGGAGGGAGCTCTCCTCCGCTTTCTGTTCCTGCCAGATCCCTTGGCTGCAAAGGAGAGATGGTCAGGAAAAAAAAAAAAAAAATCAATGCAGCTCTTTGCTACAGGCCTTTTCCATAGGAGCCACCACACTTTTGATGTTCTGTATGGGATGTGTCCTTGACAATTACCCTACTCTTCTCCCCACAGTCATCAGGCCCTATCTGTACAGACCCAGCTGATCAAAGAAGAAAAATTTAACCAAATTCTTTGTGGGGGGTGGGGGGGGAAGATGGCAAAAAAACAACCAAAACAAAAACACAAAAAACCACACCTCAAAAACATGTCAAAATTTGCCCTGCCTAAGCATTAGCTCTGCCTGCAAAAACTCTCTCTGCATAAGCACAGAGCTGGGTGCTTTCTTCTGGCATCTGCCATGCTACCTTGGCACTCACCGCTGCTACAACAGTTGCTATAAGGGGAGCTTAGTGCCTGTGTTCCCTACAATGAGTCCTGCATCATGTCAGACCCGATCACCTCCAAATCTAGCCACCAAAAGGAAGATGAGGGGATCAAGCAGCTGATGCACTGAGTGTGCTGAAGAATAGCTTCCCACTGTGACCAACCCACTAGTGCTCAGCCCTAGCTCAGAGTTTTAAGAGCTGGTCCCAGCAGGGAGACCTGAAGCCCATTCCCACTACTCCCCACATAAGTTAGGAGAGACCCACTCCCTCCATGTCCTCTATTCCCTTGTTAGCGGAGGAAGACCTGCCCCATCACACCAGATGAAATATTTGCCAGCAGTCAGCTCCAATTTACCTCAAATAACAAAAAGGAACCTATTCCCCAACCATTCATCAGCATCCACCAGCAGGGATCCACTCTCCTTGTAACAAAGCACCCCTCAGCCAGGGACCATAGGAGCCTACCTGTCACTGCCACCACCAGTGTAAGGAACAATCACAAGAACCTCCTGGAAGCGAGGGGGTAGCATGATGGGTTGACAGAGGGTGGAAATGGGAGGACTGACAGAGTTGGGAGATGAGAAGAGACTGTGTTATATACCCAACCCCCCATATAGCATATTTTCTAAGACATCCTCTGTTAAATCACTGACAGTATATCATTGCCTGTGCAACCCCCAACATTTACCTTACATCAGACCCCAGCTTGCCAATCCATTGTGACTTGACATCTGGATTCACCAGCACCTCCACAGTGATGCTTGTGTCTTGGGAGTAATGATTCCAGTCACCCAAGCCAAAGACCACAAGTTGTTTTGGCAAGGGCAGAGGCAGCTGAATCTGGTAACACATCTGGCTGGATCCGCTTGAAGAGGAGATTTAAAAATAAGGTAGCAGAAATATAGGAAGCCCAAACGAAAACAAGGAAAACCTTTGCCAACTTCCACGTGAGGACGGGGAGAGTGAAAGGATTAAGAAATCAGATGAAAACAAGGAGAGGCCTTTGCCAACTTCCATGTGAGGACAGGGAGAGTGAAAGGATTAAGAAATCAGACACACCAAGGATTTACAGCATCAGCCATAGTTGGCTGATTCCAGCACAGCACTGAGGGGTAGGTAAGAAGAATGCCTGCATACAAACTAACTACCGCCTCCACGGAGCGTAAAGGCCTGCGTGGTGTCCAAACTTTTTTCAAAGAGGGCCAGCTTTGATGAAGTGAACATGCGTGAGGGCCGACCATTTTGCCTGACATTCTTTGAACCATTAAAATTAAACGCAAATTAACTATTTTATGCAAAGTTTATTGCAAATGGCATACTTTTCATTTCGTCACATGGATGACAAATCTAAACAGGTGTTAAATCACTCTGCCTTTCATATCTGAAGGCCAGATGAAAAAAAAAATCCAGGCAGCTGAAATATATGTCAGGAACATTGTAAAGTACATTACATATTATTGGTAATAAAGGTTGTCTGTCAACTTTTAAGTTAAAAAAATATGAACAGGAACATAACACCAAGTATACATGTTGTGTCCAAATATATTTATAACTGATTTAGACCAACTGACATTAACTGAGATTTTACAATGTATTCATCTCAATACATATGGATTCGTTGGGGGCCATACAAGATAGATATTGCCAAATTACCTGTGGGGCCGTATTAAACCGGAACACGGGCCGCAATTGGCCCGCGGGCCGGACTTTGGACGTGCCTTCTGTCTGACCCGACCTCCTCACACACGGGGGCCGGAGATCAGGCATCGAGAGCCGCTGGGGGCGCCGTGGGAGCCAGCAGTGCCGCACGCAGGCGAAGCGGGAAATTGTCAGCCAGAGCTGGGGCCCTGAGCTGGCTGAGCGCGGCCCCTCCAGCTGCTGCCGTGGGCACGCCCAGAACGCAAAGCCAGGGCGCAAGCTCGGAGCGGACACTCGGAGGCTGGAGCCCAGGCCGGGAGTCCCTACGAAACTGGAGCGAGCCGGAGGTGGGGCGGGCTGGCAGGGGCGGGGTTGTCAGTAACAGCCCGTTTAGATAATCCCCGGCTCGGGTCTCACCTGCTGAGCTGCCGGGGCGGCTCCTGCAGCGACCAGAGCACGTAGAAGTGGAGGCTGGTGCCTGGAACCAGACGCGGGGGCGCCTCGGTCGGTACATCCCGCTGCGCCTGGCCCTCGAGAGCCCAGCTCCATCGGCG